CCAGCCCAGGAACTGCCTCCAGACCTCACCACAGGACACGCTTTCCCGAAGACCCAGGAATGAGGAGAGAGGGGGGCAGGAGGGAGGGAGGGAGTCCCAAGCCAGGGGCCACTGGGAGGGGAGCAGCATGAACCTGTCTGGGTCACCTCCTGGGAAACTGAGTCCCAGCCAGGCAGAACCAGGTCTCCCAGCTGCAGTCCCCGCCCACCACACACGCGGCTGCTCCGTGGGAGGCGGGAGACGTCCAAGGTGGGGCCTTCAGACCATGAGCCGCGTGGGGGGGACACATCCTGCTGTCTCACCTAGCACCGGCCCTGGCCCAGGTGAGCGCCAGGAAGCCCCTCTCTGGGTGGGGTTTGACACTAACGTTTGTGCAGCTGTTTGATGAGGAGGGTCCGTCCAGGTGACAGGGCTCGGAGAGGCCGCCACAGACTGTTAGTGCCAGGCTTACGCTCTCGCGGGGAGCTGCTGTCCTGTGCCCCTTCCCCAGGAGAGGGAGGCCAGGCTGGAAGTGGTGAGAAGGGGTCGGGCTCGCTCAGAGGCTGGCACGGACCCCATACTCACACCCGGTGCCACGCAGAAGCCCCGTCTCCCCTCGCCCCTGCCGGTACCCTGTGCAGAGCATCGGGGCTGAAACGTGCTCGGGCAGCCCCTCCCCCGCTGCCCCAGGCACACGCCCTGCTCTTGGGGGGGGCCTGAAGAGCCCCCTCTGCAAACAGTCTCCGTCTCTCTCCTCCTTCCGCTCCTGGTTTCTGAGCCGCAGTTGTGACTGTCGGTCAAACGTCCCCACCACGAACCAGGGGGCTGATGGGGAGGCCGCCCTCTGCGTGGGGGAAACACGTGAGGGTTTTTAACTCCTGCTTCTGAGTTTTCTGCATTTCCTTGATCATTTGTGTGATCACATCAGAAAGGGTATTGGCACTAAGGAGAGCACAATGTATTTGTATTATAGATAATTTTACACTTTTATTTTATTTATTTATTTATTTATTTTGAGACAAGAGTCTCACTGTGTTGCCCAGGCTAGAGTGCCGTGGCGTCATCCTAGCTCACAGCAACCTCAAACTCCTGCGATCCTACTGCCTCAGCCTCCTGAGTAGCTGGGACTACAGGCATGCGCCACCATGCCCGGCTAGTTTTTTTCTATATATTTTTAGTTGTCCGATTACTTTCTTTCTATTTTTAGTAGAGATGGGGTCTCGCTCTTGCTTAGGCTGGTTTCGAACTCCTGAGCTCAAACAATCCACCTGCCTCGGCCTCCCAAACTGCTAGGATTACAGGTGTGAGCCACCGCGCCCGGCCCAATTTGACATTTTTAAGAAAAAATGCAGAAACCTCTGTATCCAGTTCCCTCTTCACTCCCCCCCCCCCCGCAAAAAAATCTCCTTAGGGCCTTTCCAGGGCGGCTGGTTTCTGCTGTGCATGCACCTCCCAGACCATAGTGAGACTGGCCCTGTGCAGTACTCGGACAGGTGCGCACACCGCTGTTCTTGTGGGAAGTCTGAGCCGTCGGGGACGCTGGAGGCACCATGTGTGGCTGAGCTGGCATCCGCCCCTCCTTCCAGCCCCCACACAGCCCGCGTCCTGGTGGGCGATGGCCATCCTCCCTGCTCCGGGGCCAGTTGGGCTGAGCTAACGTGACCATCTCTGGTCTGCGATTGCTCCAGAATGGGCTGGGAGACCTGAGAGGAAACACGCAGAGGGCACCTGAGAACCAGCAGGAGCCCCTGTGGGGATGAGCCAACCCTGGGTACCCTCAGGGAGAGAGACAGGAGGCACCCAGGTCCTCGATGACATCAGGGACACCTGTCTGAGCCTGGACTCCGGCCACGTGGGCCGACACGTGGCCAGGCTGACTCAGCAGTGCGAGGCCGAGCTGGTGCCCGGCGTGGGTGCCGCGTGTGCCTGAGCCAGCCATGCTGTGGACGGGACAGTGACGGCTGGGGGACGTGGGTGTCGGGGGAAGGGGAGTGACAGCTGCTGTGAGTGTCACGGAGAGCGCAGTGCTGGGCAGTGAGAGGTCAAGGGAGCTGTGAGGCCTCGGGACGGCCACTGGCCACCAGCCACTGTTGGAGGCAGCACCACTGCCGATTTCCGGCTACGGAGAATGAGGCACCTTGGCAAAGCAACCAGATGTGTCTTCAGCCCTGTAGCAGCTGACCTTTAAATCATCAGAGGCAAACCATGCTTATCTCAAAACGTTTAAGTCCCCACCCCAAACAATTATGCAGGTCACTGTACCCGTGGACAGCCAACATCAATACCGTGTGCACGCCGGCCTTGCCAGCTTGGCCGTTCTACGGGGAAGGGGTATCAGGCCATTGTGCAGGTCATTGTACCCATGGAAAGTCGACAGTGACATCTGTGCACGCCGGCTTCAGCTGGGTTGGCTGTGAGGAAGTGAAGCTGGTCGCCAGCTCAAAGCCCCCGGTGCCGACTGCCAGACAGCGGGACCAGGCCAGTCCAGCACCTTCCAAGGGTCAGTTCAGCAACAGTCCTTCTATGGGCTCAAGGGAGCCAGAGCTTTCTTCATCCCCATTCTCAGGGGATCCTCTCTTCCCTCCCTCCCTTCCGCTTTTTGGGAAGGGTGAGATGCTATATGTCACCGCAGACACCATCCCAGCACTGGATGGTGACTAAGCTGCTATTCCTCAGTGAAGAACTTCAACCTGAACTCTGCCCCAGCTGCCCAGAGCGGGGCCGTTCTTTATAAAACGACTCTGCGTTCTGAGAGTACGTCTCAGTTCTCTCTCCTTCCTTTGCCTCAGTGAAGCGGCAGATTCACTTCTGGCTCTATCGCTTTCGTAATGGTGTTATGTGAATCACGAAAATTTTACATTTTGATGAAGTACAATCCTTTTTTTATGGGTTATGCTTTTGGTGATGTATCTAAGAACTCTGGCAAACTCAAAGTCATGAAGATTTTCTACATGTTCTTCTGGAAGGTTTATGGCTTTGTCTCTAACATGCAGATTTATGATCATTTGGAGTTAATTCTTTGCTATTCTGTGAGCTATGAATAAATCTTTTCATGAGGACATACAATTATCCCAGTGGCATTTATGACCCTAACGAACTGCCTCCGCACCTTGTCAAAACCAGTGGACCGTTAATGCAAGGGCTCAGGACTGGGCTCTGACTCGGTGCACGGACGGACGTGCTCATCCTCATGCCAGGAGGGCACGCAGCTCTCTAGTAAGTTCTGAAATGGGAAGTGTGAGTCTTCCAACTTTGTTCTTTGGCAAGACTGTTTTGGCATCTCATGAATTTTAAGATCAACTTGTCAGTCTTTGAAAACAAACGCACGCATTGTGTTCACCTCCTGGGGGGCAAACTTGGAGGCCGTCTCTGCTCTGGCCTCTCCTGGGGGGCAAACTTGGAGGCCGTCTCCCGCTCTGGCCTCTCCCCGTTTCACCCAGAGCCCTCTGAGCCGGCAGCTGGCTCCCCCATCGCTCAGGAGCGGCCCCCAGTCTCTGTCCCCATCAGTCTGCTCCCTCCCTGTCACTCCCTGCTCCTGAAGTGGTCTGGCTCATTGGTGTCTTCTGGGTCACACCCTCGGCTGGGCCACCCCTGCCCCACCCTCTTCCTGGAACCCCCAGAGCTGGGAGCACAGTAAGCTCCTTAGTCGTCCCTCAGTGGGGCCTCACTGGCCATGTCCAGTGCAGAGGCCAGGGGAACTGTCAGCAGATGGAGGGCGGGGGCCAGGCAAGCCACCAGCCCGGATCCCACAGGGCAGCGTATGGGGCAGTGGTGGGGATCCAGAGAGCCTGCCAGGGTCTGCGGCCCTGACTCTCCACCCCGTCCTCACAGGGCACCCCTGGTTTGTCAATCATTCCCCGGGCTGCTCCCCTCTACCCAGCCCCTAAACCAAAGACCAGAAGACAGAGCTTACCTCCGCCCCTCACGTGCGCCTGTGCGCCACTGGGTCTCTCTTGGTCCTGCCCAGGCCCCTCCCTGAGTGGCTTGGCAGGGAAGGTCTGTGCCAGGTTTGCTTCTACGGGCTGGCTCAGACCCTTGGCTTCAAGGGCCTCTCTCAGGGAGGCCCAGTTCCAGTTCCAGTTCCAGGAGCGCCTATTGGAAGCACCAAGCAGTAAGCTCTTCCCGAGTCTAACTGCTGTCTGACCGCAAGGGCCTTGGCTCCCCCAGCTCTGCGGGACCGCAGGCCCAGCTCAGGGAAATTGCGCCTGCACACCCCAAGAGCATTCTGTCAGGGGAGAGCCCTGGGTTCACCCGCCTGCAAACTCGCACCTTCAGACGTCAGCTTTGCAAACGAGAGCCACGCTGGCCGGCTGGCAAGTCCACACGAGAGCAGTTCCCTGGGCCTTCTGGATCCTGAACCCGGACACCCCCGACACCGTCGAGGACCTCACCGTGCTCAACACTGCACTGAGGCGAGCAGACACCGGACTCCAACCTCCCCTCCTCGCGCACTGCCCCTGCAGGGCAGGTCGGGGCGGCACAGGCTCCACACACCAGGCCACACGAGGGCCCCACCTGGAGGCCCCATGGACCCTGCTGCCCAGGCGTTCCCCAGGGACAGGCTCCTGGGGGTGGTCACCTGAACAGCACGAGGGGCCCTGAGAGAGGACAGCTGCAGCCTATCCCAGGCACACAACTGGGCCCTTACACGTGAGGGAATACTAAGCGTCTTGTCAGCGAGTACCCTTCGTCTGTCCTCAACACTCTGGGGCCACATGGAGCCTGTTTCCATGAAGACTCTGCTACTGCCTGCCGGGCCTGGCTGGGCCCGGGGGCTTGTCATGAGCCCTGGCTGGGCCCGGGGGCTTGTCATGAGCCCCGGTGCTGGAGAAGGGGCAGCAACGGGCACATCTGCTGACCTCATCAAGTCGCCTCGCAGACACCATCTGTCCTGTCCCCCAGGGCAGGGATACTTCTCGTGTGCTCCCTGGGGCCCCAGTGGGTGTCTGATAAACGTCACACCAATGAAAGCAAACGCAAGCGTGGCAGAACTCAAAGCTCCAAATCAAATTTTGCCCAAATCTAGGTTTTATTTCTGCTGGAATCACACCATCTGTTTGGCCAGGCCTGTCCCAACCCAGCTGGGAGCTTCTGAAAGGTTTGCCTGCAACATCACGTCATAAAGCAGCCCAACCCCAGGTATCTGGACTCGGAAACACTGAGCTGGCAGGCAACCTCCCTAACAACGGTCTGACGTCAGGGCGGAAGCTCAGACTGCTCAGATTACAGGGAGAGCTGTGTCTTCCCACGGGGGGACCACGCCGGCGGTGGGGTGTCGGGCCCGAGGCCTGACTGCAAGGAAGTAGCTGTTTTGGACACGCCACTTGGCCTCTGTGGTCTGTTCCTCACAGAAAAAATGCCGATGGCCAACTCAGCCCTGGGCCTGGAGTGGAACCTGGATGGCTGCAGTGGGAACCAGCCGAATACCGTCACCCACAAGGACCCAGATGCCCAGGACTAGGAATGCTGGGGACCCAGGGCTGGGGAGGGGCCGCCCGGTGCAGATGGGCTTGGCCATGCTTCGGTCTGGGAGGGGAGCGGCTCAGGCCCACCCTGGGGGCCTTTGGGTTGGTCTGGCCCCCGGGCCCCGGCCCCCTGCTGTCCCTGCAGCCGATGCAGGACCTCGACCTGCCTCCGCTTCTCCTTGGCCCGGCTGATGACCGTCCGGAAGAGCCTGCAGTAGAGGTGGACGGCTGGGGGCGAGTCGTCGTTGCCAGGGACGGGGTAGGTGATGAGGCAGGGGTTGCAGTTGGTGTCCACGATGCCCACGGTGGGGATGTTCATCTTGGCTGCGTCCCTCACGGCCACGTGGGGCTCGAAGACGTTGTTGAGCGTGTGCAGGAAGATGATGAGGTCCGGCAGGCGGACCGTGGGGCCGAAGAGGAGGGGCGCGTTGGTCAGCAGGCCGCCCTTGAAGTAGCGCGTGTGAGCGTACTCGCCACAGTCACGGGCCACGTTCTCGATCAGGTGTGAGAACTGCCGGTTGCGGCTCACAAACAAGATGATGCCCTTGCGGTAGGCCACGTGGGCGGTGAAATTCAAGGCCAGCTGGAGGTGCACGGCTGTCTGCTCCAGGTCAATGATGTCCTGGTCCAGGCGGCTCCCGAAAATGTATGGCTCCATAAACCTGCGGAGACCGCAGCCAGGCAAGGGCGGTGAGGGCTACAGAGCCAGTTTCACCCCCCCCCGACCTTGTACAGACGCCCACCAGGGACACGGGCTCCTCTGCAGGGGCACTGATGCTGGGAGGCACAATTTTAAATACTCCCCATGTGAACAGACAGTAGTGAGGACCCCCCCAGGGTGTGACCGTCTGGGAGCACAGGGTGTGGGGCCACCTACGAGCCTTGGGCGCAGGCTTAACCTCTCCGACCCTCCACCGCTTCCTGCGGGGATCCTAACAGAACTGATGCCACGTAAAGGTCTGGACGTTCAAACATGACAGCGACAGGACATTCTGTCCGATGTGGCACATGCAGAGGCTACTTGTCACTCGAGGCCTTATGGACAAGGCCCCTCTGGGGTTGGGCTGGAGGACCAGAACAGGGGGTGGGGAGCACCCTGGGCCCAAAGCATTGAGGGTGTCAGGGCAGGGGCCTGCCGAGCCTGGGCCGAGGAACAGTCGGGCAAAGGAGATGACCGTGCCTCAGCGCCTGGCAGGTGAGTGGTCCACACTAGCAGTTCCCAGGTCCTCACCTCCAGTCCACTCCCACTGGGTTGTGTCCCTTCCTCCCAACTGACTGCTTACCAGGGATGACCTCCATCTTGCCAAGGTCATGTCTTGGCAGCATCAAGAGAGGACCATGCCCTCCCCTCCTGCCCTTCTCTTCCCTGACTCCAAACCTGCAACGCTGGGGGTCCCGTCCCGGACTTTCTCCCCAGGTGCTCTAGAAATGTCCCTCCGTGCCAAGGGCTCCCAGAGCCTGGCCAGTCCCTCCTAGTACCAACATGGCCTCTTCATGGGACGGCTAAAGGGTTCGAACCAAAGGCCAAGGTGCCTGGCTGATCCCTGCTGCCCCACCCACCTCCAGTCCCGCCCACGGGCCCCCACTGCCTTGTGTCCACTCACTGCTTCAGCTCCCCTGCCACTGGAGTCAAGCCCTCTCACCCTCCCGTGGATGTCCACACCACCTCCCGTCCGTCCACCCCACAGCAGTCAAAATGACCACCTAAGAACATGGGACCAGTCGCTCCTTCTCCCGACAGCCGGGAAGGTCCTGCCTGGTTGAATATGGCCAGCCTCACAGGCCTCCACCCCAACAGGCCCCACCCTTGGGTCTCTGAGGCCCTTCGTCCCCCGACACCAGGCAGACAGCAGCCCAGCCAAGTCTAGAGGGTAATGCCAGCCCTGATGTGGGGCTCAGTGCCCCCAATCTGGAGGAGGGGGCTGTACTCACTTAAACAAGACCGACAAAAGTCAGCTCAAAAGTGGCCCTAGACCCAAGGCAGGAGGTCCCAAGTCCTCCTGGGAACCACCACTGGGACAGGCTCGACAGGTGTCACCTACCTGTGCCGGCAGCCGGCTTTGTGCCCCAGGTGCACTCGGGCATCGAAGAGACTTCTGACAGAAAACAGTTCCTTGACACGGAAGAAGTCTGAGTGCTTGAGGGGCTCGTTCAGAATCTTGTCACTGAACTCTATGGCAATGGGGAGAAGAGGCCACTGCGGTTTCCCACCCAGCCTGCTCCTGTGGCCTCCTGTGACACTGCTGGGGGGAGGAAGGAGCAAAGCCAAGCAGCTGAAGATGCCCCGAAGATGCCCCAAGCCCCAGTAAAGACCTGGGAGCCAGGGCGCTTTCCAGGAAACTAGGGGCTGGAGCCAGGTTTGGCCCCTGACTTTGCTCCTGGGTGAACTGGGTCAACCCCGGCCCTCGGCCTCCTGACTCGGAAAGCAGAGGAGAAGAGGAGAGGGGCCCGCTGGGTCTGAGGTCTTTCTGGCCTCCAAGTCTGGCATTCGGTCTCAGGTGCCCAGCCACCAGGAGTGCAGCAAGGTGGAGGAGGCTCCAGGCCTGGTGCTCACAGGGGGGCGAGCTCAGGGCTGTGCCTCGGTGGTTCAGTGACATTTCCCAGGAAGCCAAGTCCTGTGTTAATCACTGGACAGCCACTCCTCTCACACCCACCCCTCAAAAGGGGTGCTGGCCTCAGCCCCCTTCAGGGAAGTTCACTGACCCTGAGCTGCACCAGCAAGAGCTTGGCAGTGGGTGGGGCCAGACTGGGGAGGCCCTCTACGCGTGTGACACAGAGCGACTACAAACCCGTGCTTTAACTGTGGGGCCCTGCCTTCCCCACGAGCAGTGCCCAGCATGGTGGGGGCACTGGGACAATACCCGCTAGGTGCCAGTGGAAGCTGGAAAATGCCAAGGAGGGCTGAGGAGGACTGAGGCCGGCCGCCCCTTGTCTCCTGGGGCCCGGGACCTCCAGGGCTCACATCTAACTAAGGGGCACTCGGGCCTCCTGGCGGAAGGCAACACTCCCCATCCCATCCCATCCCATCCCATCCCATTAGTCGGCTGGGGGGCCCAGAGTTACCGCTGCTGTCCTCGGGCTCGCTGACCGCAGGGGTTGGAGCGCTTCCAAGAGTCCTGCAGCTCGGCCGAGCCGGCCCGGGGGTCGCCTTAAGGAAACCTAGCCAGCGTGAGCGGGGACAGGCACCTGCAAAGAAAGCAGAGACTTCTGGCAACGCGCCGGGCCGGGCTTCCCAGCGCGGACGGTCCAGAGCGCAGCCAGGCCTGGGGGTAGGCTGCTCCTCCGTCCGCAAACCCCTCCGGGTCCCCGGGTCCCCCCACGTCCCCTCGCCCCCTCCAGTCCCCGCCTCCTCCCCACATCCCGGCACCTCCTCCGGGCCCCGGTTGTCCCCCTCCCCGCCACGTCTCCGCGCCCCTCCGGGCCCCCACCCCAGGGTCCCCCGGGCGCGCACTCACCCACACCCAGCAGCCGGGGCAGCGCGGCCCTGGCGGGCGCCATGGCGAGAACACAGCGCGAACGCGGGGCCACCTCCCTCCCTAGGCCCGACCGAGCGGCCTCCCCTTCCGCCGCGCGCGGGGCCACACCGCCGCCTGCAGGCCCGGAGGAGCCCCTGCGCGCTGTCCCCCGGCGCGGCGCGGGTCCTCTCCGCAGGGGCGGCCCGGGCGGGGGTCCGACGGGGGCAGGGCCGCGCGTCCTCCCCTCCCGGGACTCTGCCCTCCCCGCGCGCCTCCTGCAGACGTGCCGGGCCGCGTCCTTCGTGGGGACCTTCCCCTCCAGCCTCAAGCCCAGCGCAGCCTCTCGCTCTCCAAAATCGTTTTGATGTTTACACAATCCTTGGCTAAGGAGGGTTCCATGAAGTTAGCAAAATCTCGGTGCTAAATTTACGCTTGGGGTGTCGGGGGCGTGAAGTCGCAGGGTCCGGAAGCAGCCCCGGCGTACACAGTAAGCGTCCAATCGTTGCGGACTTGGGTCCCTTTAACCCCATCACTGCTGGTGCCGTCCCAGGACCTGGGGCTTCACATGCCCGAGTCCGCCCCACTCCACTCGGGGGAGTCGGGGCGTGCCCGGTGGCCGTGACTCCGCGCCCGCCGGGACCCGCGGGGCTGGGGGCTCAGGCCTCCCCGCGGCAGCCCTGGCCCGAAGGCTCGGACCTGCCACCGGGGCCGCGCGCGCCCTCCCTGGCCAGGTGACCAGGCCGTCACCTAGCGACGGGACGCCGGCCGCTGTGGCGGCCCGGGCTGCCGGAGGCAAAATGTCGGAGGAAAGCCCCGAAGAGTGCGCGGAGCCTGTGCATCCGGAGGCCAAGGCCCCCCCGCAGAAAACCAGCGACTACTACCGCGTGAGCGAGGACCTGCCGGTCAGGTTCAACAACCCGGCGTGGTTCCGGGGCTACAGGTGAGGATGGTGGAGGCGTCAGAATCTGAGGCCTCCCCCAGGAAAGAGGTCACCGCTCCAGCTGGCCCCGGCGCTCAGTGGATGACCGTGTGTGACACCTCCCAGGACGCCCACGGTCCTGGCCACAGATGGCAGAAGGAAGGAGTGGTCCGCTGGGGCTGTGGGGTCATTACCCACCAAAGAGCCCTCCCGACAGCATCAGGAGGCACAAATGAATGGTGGAGTCAGTGAAGGTCAGGGCAGTGGGGTGACCCCAGTGGAGGTCAGAAACCCAGTTCTGGTCTCAGTCTCACCATGTGACGGGGTGAGTCTCCTCTCCTCTCTAGCCTGAGCTCCTCTGCAAGATGTGAACACAGCGACACCCCCATCTTCCTGCTGTTGGGACAGCTACGAGCTGTCACAGGGCACTGCAAACTCTAAGAAAATAATAAGAAACCCTTGATTTCCAGGCAGGTGTGAGTGCCGCCCTGCCCTGCGCTTTTGCATGTCATCCCCTCGACGGTCCTGTAGGGTAGGGTCTGTTAGTATCCTTGCTCTCCAGTAGAGGCAGCTGGGATGCAGAAAGAGCAACTTGCCCGAGACCTGGCGGTGTGAGCGGAGTGAGGCAGTACTACTGACAGGTAGGGCAGTGGCACACGCTGCAGCCACCTTAGCTTCTCGATCCGCTGCGGATAGAAGCACGGCCTCAGGAAGGTTGGGGGCTTGGAGGTAGAGCGACCCCTGGGTGGCAGGGTCTGGAGGCCTAGCCTGGGCTCCTGACAGGTTGACCGACCTACCCGGGAAGTGACGGCGTGTGCCAAGGCCCTGCCCGGGCAGAGGATCAGCATTTGCCGGTGGAGTGCTCGTTAGGGCTTTGCTTGCCTTGGGAAGAGAAGGGACAGTGGTGAGCCAGGGGCCAGGGAGACAGGGCCTGCTAGGACGGTCAGCCCTGCACTGCCAGAGCCTGTGTTCAAGGCTGTAGCACCAATGTGGGCACAGCACTCTTCCCTTGGGGCCATTTCCAATGAAGCTCCATTAACCAAATTCTTTAAGAGGGTGGTTTGGGCAGAATTAGAATAAATGAATGGAAAACAGAGTGTTTCTCATCTGCCAGGACCAAGAAGGCTGCTTCACTGTACAGGACCAGTAACCAAACGTATGGGAGCAGAGCCCCCACCGTGCACGAGATGCCCGTAAGTGGGGAGCAAGCCAGAGCATGGGAGGGGTGTCTCTAAGGAGAGTCTAAAAACCTGGAGTTCTCAATAGGTCTGCTCGTCCACATCGGGAGGGGAGCGGGGGAGGTGGGGGCCTGAAGTTCCAATGTCACGAAGTGGGAGGGAGGCACCTCGAATCATTCTGGGACAGGGCAGGGTAGAAATGAATGAATGAATGACTTTAGGAGTGAAATGTTTGGAAGGACGAGAAAAATTCGTAGGCTTGCTCACAATGTCACCCTGGTCCCCACACCCAGCCATACACAAATGCGCACAACCATCCCTTGCACCTCAAGGCAGTCAGTTTTGAGGCAGCTAAATGAAGAAGAGCTCCTTCCTTTCTGGAATTACACTTTATTAGATGTCATCTTGTGACCTTAGAGGCAGTGCAGGCCAGCCGCAGCACATTGCTGGAAGGCACATTGGTGGGCAGAGGACTTGTGCACCTTGGGGGGAGCGCAACCCCTGTTTGAGCTTGACCGTACACTCCAGGGTCACCCTCCTAGAGCCCCCAGCACCCCCGTATGTCCACGTGAAGGGCCAGATGGACCACCATAGCGTCCCCTGTTACCCGGGACACTAGACACTAGGGCCACCCATGTTGGGGTGAGAATGTTGTGGGTTTTTTTTTCCCAAAATATTCATCGTTTTAAAAGGTCTGGTAATGCTTATTTAGCCGTGCTGCGTGAGCGAGAGCGCTCTTGTGAGATTATTCTCTTACGAGTGTCTGCAGCATTTGTGGGTCACTCTCCCAGAATCGGACAGTTCCGAGTGTTCCCTGGGAGCCAGGTGTTTCTGTGAAAAAGGCCAGCACGCTCACAGGCGCCAGATGTTTTCGCTTTTATAAAAGGCCATTGAAAAATGTTCCTGCTGTAAACTGTGGGGGCTTTCTAGTCACTGGTGTCACTAAGCAGTGGGATGTGAGCGTGAGAGAGCTCATGGGGCACATTCCCAAGGAGGTTTTTCCTGCTCCATCTGGAACCTGTTTTCCAGTTTCAGGACCAAGTGTGGAAGCTGGACTCGGCGAGCAGCTATTGCTGTTTACCGTCTGTGTGGGAACAGAAAATAAAAATGCTTTGCATTTTAAAAAAGGCACTGAAGGAAATTATTCTCTGATACTGTAATAGTGATATTTCTGTTCTACAGAAGAGAAAACTGAAGTTCAGAGAGGTCCAGTAACTTGCTCGGAGTAGCACAGTTAGGAAAAGCAGATCTGGCGGTCACTCCAGGCATGACCCCCAAGTTAATGCTCACAACACATCCAGGCATGGAAATGCCACACCAGGTGGCCCTGTAATTGATCCTGTTATCCACATAATAGTGAAAGGGGGCACTATTAATAGTTAATCCCAGATGTTCGGCATAAATTGGGATGGTCTGGGGCAAACCAGGCCATCTTGCCCACCCTGGCTTCTCTGCATTTTCTTAAAAAGTCTTATTTTTCTTCCAAAAATATCCAGTTGATTGCTCAAGAGTATTACTGATATCATGCATCATTAATCCTAGTGTTCCCTTTCCCTTCTAGAAAGTATTTTATCCAAATACGAATAAATTTTCCAGACAGCTTGCAGCCTCCGGAATGTTCCGGGACAATACTTTCAATGTGTACATGGAGAAAAGCCTTGTGACTGGCCCCGACAACTATATTACCTCCTTCGACCGGCTCAACTTCCACCCCAGTTACAATGTCAGCAAGCCATCCATCTGCGATTGAGGGGTCTTTTGGAATCATTGTCCCTGATGCTCGATAGTTTGCCCGATTGTAAAGGAACAGACTTTGCTACTTTCCCTGAAAATATTTTTCCTCCCAGGAATAGGAAAACATGCAAACAGGGCCGTGAAGTCCTGCTTTCTCTATTTTATATCTAAGATGTATGTGGAAAAGACGCTAATGGTTGACTTTGTATTAAAAACGTCATGTCCTGAATTCCTGTCTTGTCTGACATTTGTAATGACAGAGCAGGGCCGTGGCGTCCCAGGACCCAGATCTTGGCCAGAAGGCCAGGAACGATGGTGGAGAAGTCCCCTGGCTGTCTTTGTTTGGGAGCTACCATTATGCGCTTGACCAGTTACGGGCAGATCGCCTGTCCTAAAGCACCCTGAGATCCGCAGACGGGGCAAGGCCCCTGCGGGGCCTGGGATGCCCTGCTGGGGTGTGGATGAGGGCTGGGGCGGGAGGCACGGCTGTCTTCGATCCAGTCCAGGTACACACCCGGAGTCCCCCAGCACGGGCAGGAATGAGGTTGGCAAATGCCGTTCACTGTTGATAATGATGGGTCATGGGGGTCTCTATGTTTATTTTTAAATTTCAATAAAAAGTTAAAAAAAAAAAAAAGCAGGCAAGGATTCACTTGTATTTTTCCAAGGTGAAGGTATTAACTGCGTTAAGAGGATTTTTATCTCTCTTTAGTCCTAAATCAGTGTTTCCTGTGAGTTCCAGTGTCCTCCACAAAAAACGAATGTTACCTGCGACAGGACAGGATGTGTCTTTCAGGCACAGATTTTTTCCCTTTGTAAGAGCAAGATGTGCTCATTGTAGGAAATTTGGGAAGTGTCAAAACTAGAAGCAATCATTCTTACATGCCATCGATGATACCTCATTTATCCTCAGGGATTCTACTCATGAATCAGGGAAGAAATTAAACATCATGACTGGTTATTTCTTCATTATAAATTTTTTATTATTAATACACAGAAGTAAGCATTTTGCCAACATTCTTAATATCTCATTTGGAATGGAAATGGCTTCCAGAAAGAAATCAATGTTTAATAAAAAGGATACAAAGCTGACCCTGCAGCCAAGATCTATGTGACGTCTCTCTCCCCAGCTGGAAAATCAGCAGAGACTCCAGACGTCGAACTTTGAAAATAGGTTTTTACAATCTTTCGTTCAAAATACCAAAATGCCAATAATCCCTCTGTGTTTGTTGAGATAGAAAAAGAATGCCTCATTAACCCAGTTTCTAAACACTCTGAAAAGAATGAATTCCTTCCTTGGCAGCTGGTTTTGAAAGGCGGGTTAGCGAGTCCAGGGCAGGATAAAGACGTCAGCCCAAACAACTGCTCTTCCCCAACCTGGAAGTGCCGGGCACCCGTGCTGCCGTAACCAGCCCGCTTCATCCCTCTTTCCGGGCTGAGGGTGGTATCGGGGCCCAGGGTGGGGTCGCCAATCCACAAACAGAATATGTGGCCACGCAAGGGCCACGCTTGCCCGAGGGCCTCGCGGACTTGGTTCTGGAATCACAGTTGGGCGCTGAAATGCTTGAATTGGTCGTGTCCAGTAAAATGCTGTTTCTGGAACAGCTGCTGGTGACTTAATGCAGTTATACTCCATACATTTATTCTAAATAGAATAAGGGAAAAGACGAAAAACCCAAACATTTTTGATATTAACATACACGTCCCTCTTCCTGAAAATCCGGTAACTGTTTCCAGCTCAGGCTCCCAGTCCCGTGCCCTGGCACGTGCCGCGGCCTCTCCATTTCTCTGCCCTTGCGCAGTTTTCAAGGGGCCTTGGCGTAATTACCGCGTCTGATCCTCACACCTGGGGCAGTTCTGACTAACGCGCCTTTATTTTCAGATGGGAAAATTAGGGCCCAAGGGAAGTGCCGAGGGCAGGCCCTGGGCTTGAACCACTTTGGGGGTGTCCTGGGAGGCATGAGGCCCCCTGCATCTGACCCCACAGGCTGGGCCTAACTTTCTACCTGTTTGCACGAGTCATCTAGGAACTCCAGTGATTATAAATTCTGAGACATTCATCTTTCTAACGTATTTCCACACTGAAATTTTTACCTGCTGAGAAAAAAAAGAGTTTTTCTGTTTGGGATCACAGCATACAAAATGGATGGTTGAAAAATGAAAAGAAAATGACAGAGATCGGGCCGGACATGGTGGCTCACACCTGTAATCCCAGCACTCTGGGAGGCCGAGGCAGGCAGATCGTTTGAGCTCAGGAGTTCGAGACCAGCCTGAGCAAGAGCGAGACCCTGTCTCTACTAAAAAATAGGAAGAAATTATTTGGACAACTAAAAATATATAGAAAAAATTAGCCGGGCATGGTGGCGCATGCCTGTAGTCACAGCTACTGGGGAGGCTGAGGCAGTACGATCGCTTGAGCCCAGGAGTTTGAGGTTGCTGTGAGCTAGGCTAACACCACGGCACTCACTCTAGCCAGGGCAAGAGAGTGAGACTTTGTCTCAAAAAAAAAAAAAAAAAAAAAAAAAA